CTACCTTTTCTCTTTTTATCATCTGCATAGATATTTAGTTTAACCTGCCCCAATGTTTTTTTTTTTTTTGTCTATAGCAATGGCTAAAGGTTCTAACACTAATATGTATAATAGTGGGTAAAGGGGGCATCCCTGCCTTGTCCGTTGTTAATGTTAAAAATTTGAGACGTAAATTCAGATCCCATGACTTTTGCCTGTGCAGAGTCATAGAGAGAAGATACCAATTTTAGAATTGGACCTGTAAATCCAAATTGTTTCATGTGGCCCACCCTACCCTATCAAACGCCTTCTCTTCTCTCTGCATCTATTTCTATGAGCATGAGTGGGATCCTTTTGGTCTAAAATCTCCCTCCTTCAACTACTTGCTGTGCCATGAGTAAGGGCATGTCTACTAAACCCATTGTCTCCTCTACAGCCCCCACCCATTAGCGGCGGGTGGGGGCTAATAGTAAAATTAACTACCTCCCCAAACCATCAATAAATACATTCCATACTTACCTCCCTAGTGAGGGGGAGCAATAACTAATTACCTGACAAAAAACCCTAAAAAACAATAGATATCTTCTTTTTACTAACATCCATTTTTTCAGCCTCTATTGTTTTCAGGTTTAAGCCAACCAAGCACTCTGAGTCAAATGCATGGTGCAGGAAGGCTTTAAAAACCTTTCCCCAGCCCTGCAAAGCTCAGTCTGCATGTCGCTCTCACCAAGTGAATATGGATTGTTTTTTTATCATCAGGATTTATTTTGTTGTTGTGGTTTTTTTTTTTGCAATTGTTTTTTTTTTTTAAATCTTTCTGGATTTTTCTTTGACCTTTTAGACATCTAATGGTAAGTATTTTTTTTTTTTAAATTTCAGGTATTTAGTTTATTGCCCCTCTTATACTATTATTAGAGTGAGGGGGGTGTGATGAACAGGAGTGTGGAGGCTAGCCTCCTGCCCACTGATTAATATGGACCATAGAAAAGGCTGGTAAAAAGACATGGTTCGTGGGACTTATTTGTACTGTTCGGGAACAGAACAAACTCACGAACTGCAGACCACCTCTGTGCTTGTTAGCCCCTGTTAACCTCTCCTAAAACTTCAATCATTGTGTATTCTAATTGTGGCCACGCTCATATGCACAAACACATGGGAACTGTGTTGGCGGCCATCTTGTTCATGAGAATGCAACAGTGGTGTTTGGGCGTAGAATTCATGGAACTAAAATCGGACTCTGAAACTCACAAACACTGCTGAACGCTTGCTTCTTTCCTACCCATGTCAGGAGAGCGTATGAGCCATACGAACAAACGCTACCAAAAGTCCAGAATGTGCGTTCGGTATTTCTTTCTCATGAAACTCTCAAAGTTGACTGGCAAAAGCCCCAAATGCCCTTGAACTGTTTTGGGCATAGGACCATGTGTTTTCGGAGGGTCAGAACTTTACCCTGATGGCGTTTCAGCTATGTTCATTCAATATATTGGGTGCTCAGATCCAGGCTATCCGGGGATGTATAGACTGTGGGGGTTCCTATGTGGGAAATCTGTATTTTTTTATGTGTTCTAAGATTTTGTCATGGTGACTGCATTTTGAGGACATTTTGTGGGTGTGTTTATGGGTGAGTTATGGGAGTGTCATGGGCGTGTTTACTGTGTCTCTGTACTGTATAAAAGTAGGCCATTGAACTTTAAACAGATTAGTTTTATCCCTTCATCAAGTCTAGGTTGATGCTTGTGGGAACTTGGGCTTTAATCACTATTTTGCTTGGGGGCTTCATAACGGACATACTCAGCCAGAGTATAGGGGGTTCGTTACAGGGGATATGTTGGGATTTTAGGTATTAGATGGTTTGGGGTCTCTATTCAGTAATTATTTTTACTATTAGCCCCTACCCGTTGTCAATTGATGGGGGTTGGGGGAGAAATAGATACCCCAAGCTGTCATTTAGAGCCAGCCACTATGGGTTGGGATTGGTGGCACATATGTCCTCCCTTATCATTTAGGGATCCCACCCGCCGCTAATGGGTGAAGACTGGAGGGGGGGCAATATTCCCCCCTTATTACTTAGGAACCCCACCTGCTGCTAATAGGTGGGGGCTGGGGGGAGACAATAGGTCCTCTTCTTATCTCTTGGGCTTCCCCCACCAACCCTTTTTCACTTAGAGGGCATCCACCAGCCAATAATAGGTGGGGACTGGGTGGGACAATAGGTCCCTTATCACATAGGACACCCACTTCTAAAGGGTGGACTGGAGGGCCTTCCTATTATCAATAAGGGCCCCAACCCACTGCTAATGAGTGGGCTGGTGGGAATGAAAAGTCCTCCTTTATCACTAAGGGACCCCCACCCGATGCTAATGGGTGGAGAGTGGGGGGGAATAATAGGTCCCTCCATTATCACATAGGATTCCCACCCATTGCTAAAATGTAGGGGCTTGAGGGAACCCCCATTATCACTTAGGGTCCCCACCCATCGCTAATGAGTGGGGACTCTGAGGGTGACAATATCACTTATGAGGCTTCCGACTAGTGCTAATCGGTGGGGACAGGGGGGGGCAATAGGTTGCCCTTTATCACTTAGAGCCAGCCACTTAAGGGTGGGGGCTGAGTGGGGAACCTCCATTATCTATGAGGGCCCCCACTCACTGCTAATGGGAAATTATTTATGAGAGCTTGGGGGCCCCTTGTCACTGTGGGGTGACTAGGGACTTGAGGAGTAATTATTTTTACTATTATCCCTCACCCATCACCAATGAATGGGACCTGGGGAAATATGTCCCCAGTTATCACTTAGGGCCCCCACCTGCAGCTAATGTGTGGGGGGCTGCAGGGTGGACAATATGTCCTTACTTATCAGTTAGGGCCCCTACCTGCTTATAGGTAGGGGCTGGGGGGACAATAGGTCATCCCATTATCACTTATAGCACCCACCTGCTGCTAAAGTTGGCAGCTGGAAAGACCCACCATTATCAGTTAGGCCCCAACCTGCCACTAATGGGTGGGGGCCAGGGGGACAATAGATTTCCCACCCTTTATCACTTAGGTTCCCCACTCATGTGGGGTTGGGGTAGGGGGGACCCTTCTTATCACTTAGGGCCCTGTCCAGCTGCTAAAGATTAGGGGCTGGGGTGTTTCAATTTTCTTATTAGGGCTGGTAGGGACAATAGGTCCTCGCCTTAGTAATTAGGGCCACCTCCAGCTAGGGGGACCCCCAGTATCACTAAGGATCCCACCCACAGCTAAAAGGTGTCGGCTTGGGAGACAATAAGTTCCTCCACTTCTCACTTAGGGTCCGCTCCCACCGCTAATGGGTTGGGGCTGCAGGGAGACAATAGTTCCCCCTTATGGCCCCCACCCACCACTAAAGTTGACAGCTAGGAGGAAACCCCATTATTAATTAGGGCCTCAACCCACCACTAATGGGTGGGGCCTGGGTGGTACAATAGGTTCCCCCACTTATCACTTAGAGGGCCCCTACTCGCCGCTAAAGGTTTGTGATGGGGGGATCCACCTTATCACTAAGGGCTCTCTCCCACCACTAATGGATAGGGGCTGGAGTGGCAATAGGTTCCCCCCCTTATCACTTAGGGCCTCCACCCGCCACTAAAGATTGAGGGCTGGGGTGTACCCCTTTTATTAATTAGGCCTGAGAGGGACAATAGGTCCTCAACTTAGCAATTAGGGCCACCACCAGCCCCTAAATGGTGGGGGTTGGGAGGACCCCCATTATCACTTAGGACCCAAACCCAACGCTAAAGGGTATGGGCTTGTGAGACAATAGATCCCCTACTTATCACTTAGGGGACAAAATGTCCCTCTTTATCACTTACAGACTGCTAATGGATGGGTGCTAGGTGGAAAACAATTTCTTCCTTTATCACCAAGGACCCCAACACTATGTTGTCCACCTTGTTAATTATTATAGCAGGTGCTGTGACAGGTCCCCCTTTATTATATTGGGGATTTTTTTTTTTAAAACAGTGAGTGGCTTTAGCATACATACCCCTACTTGCCGCACAGGGAGTAGGGGCACAAAAGAGATTTTAATCTCCTTTATTTACAAATAATAAGTACATTTACTTAGTAGAAGTAGAATTGGCAGAAATATCACTTTTGGTCTTTCTGCTTTTTAGTAGATAGCTCCCTAATATTTGTGGGATTTAGGGGGTTATCTACTAAACAGTTGCAAGATGTAGCTGTGGCATGGATTGGAATTTAATTTTTCCAAATTAAATTCCGAACTGAAAATAATCCTTGGATTTTGTTCGAGGACGAATGGATAAACTGTCAATATTCTGTTTGGACAAAATTTGATTATTTCGCTAGCACCCTAGTCTAAATGACGGAATGTTTGGGAATGGTGAATGGAAGCAATGCAAGAACACAGAGGAGGTTAAGTATTGTGAGAAAATGTTCTTTGAAAAAAATAAATGGAACTGATTTAAGCTTTTCCTTGGGTCAAAGAATATCAAGTGGAGGAAAGTCCCTATTTTGTCTTAAAGAAAATCTGATCAGAAATGAAGAAAAGAAAAACAGATTTGGAAACAGGAAGAGAAGAGGAAGTGATTGGAAAATGTTTGGTGTGACAGTGGTGCTTTAAAGATGCACGTGAGGCAAAGTAGTGACTACTTTGTCACATGTATTTGCCAATCTTTGGATGAATATGCAGTTTCTACCACCATTTACAATCATCTCTCGGTTGTGCTGTTAAGGAGAGAAGGCATCATCCAACAGCACTTTATTGTGCATACTCAAGATTATCTATAGATGATCACACACTCTTATGATACTCCAGATGAAGTAGCCAGAAGTTGAGGAAGTATGGTGACTTGAAAAGAGCAATGGTGAAGTGGGGCGGTAAAGGGTAAACATGTATCATATTGGCTTTGCCTCCCTCTTGATCACTTACACACAATTCATCATGTCACCTTGTAGGTTCATAAATTGATAGTATAAGCATATCATATATATCACATAATGTTTAAAAGTACCTCTTTAAAAAAATGAAAGGGACTCACTCTCATAATTAAAAGTGTTGCAGTTGTCCCCATTACAGCATTTAATATTTGTTGTAAATGTAGATGAATTAGCACCGCCAACATCGACATTACCCACATATTCACAGGGTAAGTTTTCATCAACACATCCCTTGACAATGGAACGGAAAGCTACACCAGCTGCAGGAATAAATTAGGATAATTTTAGTCAATACCCATATTTATTTCAGGAAAAAAATTTAATTATTCACAACATATATTGCAAGAGAAAATAGCTCAGTTTCAATTTCCACATGCATTTAATACATTTGTCTATTGGAATTTACATTACGTTACGTAAAAAAATCAATACTGTGTTGATATTTGTCATACAGCACTTTCCTGAGACTAACTGCATCTCTCAGATAATTGTAATCTATCTATGCATTTGCTATTAGCAAGTTAATATTTTTTGGAATTTTCATATCACATGTATGAGGACAACACACTTACTAACCTGTTCTTTGATCTAGCTGTCTCTATTTAACCGAAATCCCATTACAAAATTCAAGCATACAGTAAAAAAAATGTTGTTTATGATTCCCATATACCCTTCGATTTATGAAATCTCTCTCATTAGATCATTTAATAATATCAACAACTTATTCTGGTGTTATGCTCGGTTTGATGCTCTCTTTGCCCACATTCTCCTAGAAAAGTGGCTTTTCCTACACTAGGATAAGGCTTCCAAACCAGCACCTCCTTTCAGGTATCTTTTAAACCGATAATGTGACATGAGTTGGCGGCGGTCATCTTGGTCCATCCTTAATGTGCCCAGCACCTTTTTGCTTTTATACTATTTTAGCACCATTTATTTCTTTTATTTATCATATTATTGCATTCTGCCTTACAACTATGCTTTTTTGTGTTCTTAAGTTACCATGATGTCATGTGACCATAATTTATGAATTGTGCATCTAACAGGAAAGATCCCCACACTGTGACACTTTGACAAAACCTGTCAATTAGGTGAAATGCATCGGTGTGTTACCCCTTTTATGGTTTTATATTTTATTTTCAGTAAAATTAGTGCTTTTTTCTACATTAGACCTTCCTGATTTTATCAAGATGATTGATACATCGATTTCTTTGGTGAGGAACATACCACCCATGCCATTTGGTTTGAGCAAAACCTATTTTGCTCTTGACTAGTGAGTACACATTTATTTTATTACGTTTATCTAATTTAATAGTAAGCAAAAATATATTTTTTATTTCTATTTTATACATATATCACTCTGGTGAAATTCTGCTGCTATACTCCTGTGCAGCAAAAATGTAGGAACTCCGGGGCAACTCTATGTATGCAGAATTGAAAGTAGATCCTGCAATGCTGGAAAATCTGAGGGTTGACATTTGTAGCTACTGAGTGTTCAAAAGCACATGGACAGGCCCAGTTTATTTCTTATGTCATTACACAGATTAGTATTGGCACATGTCAGCATAATGTATTATCAGCCAAAAAGATTTCTTATCTTATTCTTCTTACATTATAAAGCTTTGAAATTCAACATATATTTTGTACTTACGGAAATTTAAGAAATCTGATTTCACAAAGCACTTGGAATCCCCGCTGCAAGTCACAGACTCTCCCTGACATGTGACACCATTTAAGTTGGTGCACTGGAGGCAAGTCGAGCAATAAACTGAAAGATTAATATAGGATGTGAGCTATTTACCCAGGATGTTATAGAACTATCTGGAAGGGCAACATTAAGCACCATAACCATGTCACATAAAAAAAAAAAAAAAAAATTAAATTACAGAGATGGTGGCGGTTATATACAAGTGAGTTGCATTCATTAACAAACAGCATATTCTTATTTACTGAATGTAATAAACATAGTAGGTATTTCTAGGGAATATAAAGTACCGCACAATTAGAGTCAAAGTGCATGCAGCAATTTTTAGATGGGAGACTGTAGAATAAAAAATATGAAAAATATGTGAAAAATAAGGTTTTCACTTATAATAGTCAGTGAGAGGAAAACACGATTCATGTCAGGCATTTGGGTCTACCCTGGGGTAACAACTAATACACCATTTGGAACTAGAGGCAAGTATTGTGTGCATGGGACAGTGGGCACAAGGAAGAGAGTGAATATAATGTGCTGACTAATAATGTCAATATAACAATTTGAAGGGGGTTGTCATCGAAAGGAGAAGTGATGAATAAATGGTGACCCAAGATAAAAGATTTTTAAAAGTGTGCTATAAATGCCAGATTTTACATTGCAGTGTTTCTTCCCAACCTCAGTGTGTTTGTTAAGGAACAGAAGTTATCATTTATTTTGATGAGATCTTACCTGCTGTTGGTACAGCTAGAAACAGGTACATAATCACTACCAAGGAGGTCATTTTCATAACCTTGATAACCTTTGTCAGTATGGTCCAGATATAGAAACTGGGTGATTCAATTGGAAATGACAAAACTCAATTAAAAGCCAGTCAGCTGGAATACAAAGAGGAGAACAAAATGTTTGTAACTAATTCTGTAAAATATTAAAATAATTGATAGCGTGGGGCGTGGCTGACAACAGAGCAAGATGGCAGCATGAAACCTTGCTCCGGCACCCTGGGCACCTAATCCAGCGTAATCCTGAGGAATAAAGCTGCATCCAACACTACAATAATATAATGTCTCAATATAAAAACAAGAAGAACTCGGCAAAACCGGACAAACTCAATTTCTTTAGCCAAAAAAAGGCCCAAGCGGCCGAAACAATGCAGGCCTCAAGCGATGCCGGAGACACTGAATCAGAAGATGGTGGGCAAAGCCGAGAACCAGGCACACAAACTGAAAATACACAAATTACAAAAGCCGACCTTACAGCAGCCCTGGAGGTCCTTTCCAACAAATTGATTACCACATGGCAACATACAGCAGACACCATGCAGAAGGACATTCAGGAACTCGGAAAATGGACATCACACGTGGAAGACAAGTGTGATGAATTCGCAACAGCTCATAATGATCTGGCCACAAATGTAGAACAACTGGAGGCAAAACTAAATTACATGGAAGAAATAATGGCGAACAAGGAAGACAGATCTCGGCAGAACAACTTACGTTTGAGAGGAGTCCCTGAAGAAATCGCAAACGATCTTCCAGCATACATTCAAAAACTCCTGCAGGCATATACGCTGAAATCTCATGGTATACGATATAGATGGGGGTTCCCCACAAAACTTATAATCATAAAAGACGGAGCCACAATGATAATATACTCCCCTGAAGAAGGTCTGAAAAAATTACAAGCCTGGGATATGCCAGTGGAGCAAACGACACAGCAAGCAGGGAATCTCAAACCAGAGAGGAAAAATCTCACAAGAAACACTAAAACCAGTTGAATCACTGGTTTACAGGCGAGTACAAAGCTGAAACACACTAACTACACGGACCCAAACTACAGTCATTAGACTTCTTCATATACAAGTCATGGGACATATTCAAAACAGAGGTGTACACAGGCCTAAAAAAACGGGAAACTAACAAGAACGCAACACTGGACCGTGGGCCTCCCGCCATCCCTGTGACGAGGCACAAGCAGAGCAGGGGCTTAATGCGGGGGTACCCAGTTTGGACCGACAAGCACGGATGGTGCTTGCTCTTTCCCAGTTTCCCTTCACCCCTTTCCCCCGTGGACTGGGGTGCTAGAATATGAGCCGCAGCATACACAGATGCTACACAGTTCTGCCCGCCAGCTCAAGATGGCTACGAATCTGCTCTATGACCCACAGCCAGAGAGCCTCTGCGGGTGTCACAGCTCACTGGGCCTACAAACTGTAATGAAACAATAATGCAAGGTAATTGGAGGCTCAGGAGCGGGCACACCAAAAATTGAGGGCAGGTATGATATGCCGACAAAGGAAAAGAACGATATGCTAAGTTACCGTATGACATGTCATGGTAAGATTGTCTACTATGTTATGCTGCAGCTAGCCCCACACACCAAGGTTACATATGGAGATATCCATAGGGAACTCCCCGCAGGACCTACATACCACAGACCAATCGGCCACAAAAATGAGGAATACCTTAGGTCATGACACACTGCGTGATGCCCCACTTGTGTAATGACATACAATGATGCCCCACTTGTGTAATTTACAGCCTAACACTATACCCAGGCCTATGTGCACCACGACATATAAAGATGCAGCACAACACGATAATTTAGGACAGTGCCAATAGCCATGTAAATGGAGGAACTCTTTCTCTCCAATCCCCCAGGTATGGAGAACCCACACAAAGTCTCTGAGGGAGACACCTTGTACATAGTTCATATAACCTTCCCAAGTTACTTCCCCTTAACCCCAAGACACCCATGGTCGGTCATGAAACTACGGAGAAACCACAAAAAACTAGACCCACATCACCACCTACTTACCCATACAAAACATGGATCAACTCCCATATACTACACACTGCAACTCCACAACGGTAATAACGATGTAGCACCATACAACACAGAAGCACAAAAGCCCCTAATACAACAAGGGTATCAACACTGGCACATAAAACAATTACATACGCAGTTAAAATGCATAACCCGTATACAGTATGAAAATACAGACCATTAATGCCCGTGGACTGAATACGCCACACAAAAGGAGACTCTTTCTAGAAGATATAAAACGCACCAAACTAGATATACTATGCATACAAGGGACACCATTTTGTACATAATAGGCTACCCAGCTTTGCCAGCAGAGACTATCCCATACAATACCACTCGACCTACTCCACTAAGCCACGAGGTGTTTCATTCTTTATACACAACTCCGTGTCATTCGAACTCCTACACCTTAAAAAAGACACACTGGGCAGATACCTTACACAACATTGCAAAATCAACGACACACTGTACACCTTGGCGGGTGTGTACGGACCCAATAATAATCAAAGAAGCTTTCTGCACAAAGTACTAAATAAACTCCTGACCACCCACCAGCAATCCATGATCCTATGTGGGGATCTAAATCACATAATGCAACCTCGACTGGACACCACATTGACAGATACGTCACCCAGGCTCAAATCACTATGCAAACAAGCCACAGCAATTCTAAAACTCCTAGCAGAACACAATCTCTCTGATGTATGGAGGTCTCAACACCCTAATGATCCAGAGTTCACA